CTCCCATTAGAATGTGTGCTCCTTGACAGCATGGACTGTCTTGCTTTGCTATCTACATATCTCCAGTGTTTAACTCTGTGTTTTGCATAGTAATTGTTTAATAAATGCATTTTCAGCTATTTGTTCCATAATTTCAGATACATGACAGGTTTAAGTTCAAATTCCTAGCAATTATTATACTTCCACTTTTATTTTCTATTTCTATTTTATGCATAAAGAACATAAATGTTTTAATATTAAGTCACACCTTCACAGACCAAAGTGATGTAAAATGGGTAAAGCCCCTGTTTGTAGATAGGTTCACCAAGTCCCTTAACCTGTTTCAGAGAACTTTCCTTCTGCATTTTGGTGTACTAGGTGCATATCTGCACTTAACACCTGCAGAGCTGCTTTCTACCTCCCCCATTACAATCAGCACACAAAGTAGCTGAGGACTCACCAATGTAATCCCACATGATAGAGCATCTGTGTTTACATCTGGCTCTCCTCACATGTTTGGAAATGATTAACACAGGAAAGGTTAAAAAAAAAACCAATAAAAGAAGCTTAACCACAATAATAAGCAATGTTGCCATTATTAAAAATCACGCATTGCTAATTAGGATCCTTTGGCACATTTAGAGTGGAAACATATTTAGCAACACTTGATAAAAAGGGGAAGAAAAAGTATGATCGATCAAAGCTAAATTAAATAACATGCATCAGTGAGAGGTGGGTCTCACTTTAAAAATAAGCATTATTTGAAATTTTACTCCATGTTACAATTAATATGTCATTTAAAAAATAATAAGTTCCATCAGCTCAGAAAAATGTGAGATCAGCACCACCACAATTCCTGCTAGGCTCTTGATAATTATGAGAATGCCAAGTTTAAGTAATGCCTCTGAGGTGATAAAGACCTAATTATAAAAGGCTACACTATTTATATGATGGCACACTAAGAAAAATTATGTAAAAACAAAAAATCATATTTTCATGGTATTAAGTTTTATGTTTATCTTAAGATAAAAAGGTGTAACTCACTTTTTATTAAAAGTGTTGGTATACTCACACAATGTTACAATAATTAGGCAATTAAATATTTCTGACATTAGAACTAAATTAAAAGCTTTTAAAAAAGCAATTTAGTAGTATATTTATACAATTGATTGAAGATGTAAAGTAAAAGGAAAGCTAGTTACTTTTAGTGGTCCAAACCTGAGATTTCATTAGTATAGTGGACAGCTGGAAAGAAAATCCCCTTCCTGTGCACATAAATGTACAAGGACAGGAAACATGGTTTTAAAGTTAGCTTGAGCACTAAGAGGGTAACTGACTTGACCATCATAATACAGCATGTTGGTGTTAAAACTTGAACCCAGGACTTTCTGAGTTTAAGAATGGTCTGTCCCCACACCACACTGCCTCTGCAGTTACTTCATTAAACAAAATATGCATTTTATAAACTGTAATTTCAATTTTTATGTAAGACTGTATTGGATTCAGAACAGTACAAAACATGATCCCTAATAAGAAGGATGGGGGAGGGGCTTTAGGAAAGGATCATCAAAAGAAGGTATGAAAGCAGTATCCTTAAATTATTAAGGGCTGGAGTCTACTGGTAACTCCTTAAGGTTAACTGCTATATAATTTCCATTTACTTTTTTAAGAGAGACACAGTAATAATTTTAAAGAGCTATGTTATTCCTTACTTCAAGGATTAGAATAATTCCCCATAAGGAAAAAAAATCCCAGTGGAGATATGATTGCCACTCTGTTACCATTATATTATTAGAATTTTCATATGAGATTTCATGTTTGCTCTGCTCCAATTGTTATTAAAATATAGCCACTATAAAAAAATGGCAGTCAGTAAGTCCTCAAGCCCTACTCCCAACACACATGCACACATATACACAACACCCCCCCCCACCAATATATAAAATAAAGAAAAACTAAGAACATAGGCCTTTTAGTAATACAATTTGGTCCAACTGCAATTTTAAGGTAAAGATTATTAGATTTGAAAATATTTCTATCAAAATTTCAATTATGTTACATCTGTTACTTAAAACTAGAACAATGTGAAATAATTTGACAAAAATGAGAATACTAAAGGTTCTAAACATGGTAAGAGGTAAAAAGACTCATGGTAGAGTAGTACAATATATCTCTTTTGTTAGCATCCTCTACTGGTGGATTCCAAAGACAGCAAGGAAAGTGCCTCTAACATATGCATGTACCTTTCCATTTCCTTAATATACCAGAATGACAGGCTTAAGTTACTGGAGTAGACTTATCCAAAAGAAAAGGTTGTAAGAAGTGGGAAATGAGAAAATTTAACTCTTAAAATATATATAATACACAAAGTGACCGGGGTCATTTTGCAATCAATTTAAGCAGCTCTAATTTATCTCCATCAAAGATGACTAACAACATTAACATAAAGTTCACTGCATAGGGTTTGTTCCCTGGGCAAACACTACTCAGATGGCTGACTAGCTGTCAAGTTAACAGTACTTGATACCCCTATTTTACATCCCCTACTCTGAAGATAGATATTCCAGAAGGAAATTAAAATGTTTTACATAAGCAGCACAATCTGCTATGCTTTAATCTAGAATGAACAAAAAATTATTTCCACCCAAATAAAATTAAGTACCTCTATGAACACCCCCCCACTGTAATCAATGCTTATTTCTTAACCATACATACACCTTTGAGGGTTAACATTTTTACTGGCAGTTCTCATCAGAAAATATCTGCAACTTAAACACGACTGCGTTGCTAAGAAATATTAACCAGTGCCCATCCAGAGATTTCACTGCAATGGCATGACAAGCTCATTTTTAATTCGCAAAATACATTGCTATTTACAGCCTAGAAAACAGCTATGCTAATTATCTATGAACGAAATGCATTTCAGAACAACAACAGAAAAAAGATGCAACGCTAGGATCCCAAAGTGATGAAAATGGAAGGTACCTGTAATAGTACTATCTTATACACCTTTTGTTTTCTGTGTGATGCATGCTGCAGACAAATCGTTTTGCGCTAACCAGCCTCAAATCTGTTTGTCTAATATTAAACACAAAGGAAAAACACTGACAGGCATCGCGGTAAATAAAGGCGTCCCTGGAGGCTGAACGCGGCAGACAGGAGGGGGCTGACATGCCGCCGGCAGCAGAAAACTCAACCCCATCTTTTTGTCTACCTGCACAAGTTGCCATTTGCCGCGGCGATCCGGAGCCGGCCTCTTTTTCCTGTGGATCTCCTAGACCTTTCCCCGAACGCCTTTTCCCCTTAGGTCATCTGTTGATATGCCTCGGGAGGAGAATATTCCTAGGACGGGATGTGGAGGAGAAGCTCCATTCTCTCTCCCGTGCAGGTAAACATGTTTACAGCAGCTGCACAGACACTGGTGGCTCAGACTCACATGTCACACACATGTCGTCAGCAACAAGAAAAGCCCCTTCCTCGGACGCCCAACACCGTAATCAGGGGAGACGGCGCCGCGCTTTCCGAACTTACCTTTCACGCAGCCCCCGGCGGCGGCTCGGGCGGCCCCGGCGGCCCCCACGCCAGGGGCGCTGCCTGCCCCGGGAAGCGAACCGGGCCGAGCCTGGGCAGCGCGCCCCCCGCCCCCGGCCGCCCCAGGCCCGCGGCGGCGGCGGCAGCAGCACAATAACGCAACTTTCAACCGCAACTTCGCGCGTTCTTTCCACCGAGGCTGTTTATTTACAGGTTTCAATGGTTAATTAAATCAACGGCCAGGAACCGCAATCCAAGTTCTGGTCTATGTAGAGCCCGCCCCACGGCTGGAAGGAGCAGCTGAGAGCTTCCTCTCGTCTCCAGACAGGAAGCCCCCCACACACACCACCTCAAATTGCAGGAAAGGTTACAAAGCCTCGCATTTCACAGTCCACGGGGGGCTAAGACAAGCGTTTCCACTCCAGCACATCCCCTCATTTTCTAGGAGATAGAGACGCTGTCACAGGCACGCTGTGTCCATCTCCCCTTCTCAAACCCATTTCTAACAGAACCCACGTCCCCCCAAGCAGCCCCAAGACCGAGGTCTAAGACGTCCATGTCATTCCTTATATAGACTCAGCAGCTCGGCCACGCCGTTCCCACCCATGATTCTACACGCAGGTACGGGGGCAGCACCAGCAGAGCCCGGGGGAGAAGGGCTCGCCCGCTACCCGCCCGGCCAGGGGAGTTTCAGGCCGGGAAAGGCTCGGGCAGAGACGCGAGAAACTTACAGGGGCTCGGCGGCGGCGGACGGAGCCTGGCGGCGGCCCGGGGGCTGGGGCTCGGGCTCTTTTCGGGCTGGCCCCCGGTGTGGCTGGGAGGCGGGGGGCTTCGCCCGCCGATCAGCCTGGATCAATAAGCACTACTGCAGCAGCAGCGGCGGCAGCGGTAGCGGCCGCGTCCGTCCGTCTGTCCCCCCCCTCCTCCCTTCCCCTCCCACTCGAGCCCGAGCCGCAGACACAGCTTCACGCTCGGCTCCGCGCGTCTCCCCCAGGTAACAACTTCCCCAACAACACACACGCGCACCGACCCCCTCCGCACAGAGCCCTCTCCCCCACGTGCCCCCCCAGCTCTGGGGGCCGGGGTCTCTAGGCTTCCGAGCCAGGTAACTTGCCAGACGGCCGCGGGCACCACCCAGGGCGGGCGGACAGCAGCCTTCCCCCACGCATCCGCTCTCGCCACTCGGGAAAGACAACTTCGGGCTCCCCCTCGCCCCTGCCCCAGGAGCCGGGGGGTGGCGGCAGGAGCTCCCCGCCCCTCCTGGCGCACCAAAAACACAGTTCACAACCACTAGCAGCACCGCCACCCCCCGCCCCAGGCAAGGCAAACAGCACGGGCGCCCCCCCCCCCACGGCCGCGCGGATGCAGGGGGGGCGGGGGGCCACTTTCGCCCCTGGGGACGCAGGGAACAAGTTTGTTCCTCGGGCTCCCGGGGGCCTCCGGGTTGCGAGAGAATGACACGGAGGAGGGCTGAGCAGGGAGGAGGAGGAGGAAGAGAAGGGGGGGGAAGCTAGAAAGAGAGAGACAGAGGGGGAAAAGTGCGAAAAGCCGCGGCGGCGGCTCCGCCCGGAGCCGGAGAAGTGGCCCCGCCGCCCCGAGGGGGCCGGGGATGCAGCCGCGGCGGCGGCGGCGGCTAACGGTCCAGGGAGGCAGGCGCGGCGGGAGCCGCTAGGCGGAGAGACGCCAGGTAAGAGGAGCCCGAGCTAACGGTTCAGGCAGAGGCAGCCGCCGCCGGGCTGGGGCACGGGCAGCAGCAGCGGCTCGGGCTGGGTTGGGCTGGGCTGGGCTCCGGCTCCGGCTCGGGCTCCAGCCCAGCGAGCAGGAGGCGGCGGGGGGCTCCCACCACTACTTTCTACTTTCCCACTCGACTTTCCCCGTCCCTCGCCCGGCGGCCCCCCAGCCCGGCCCGGCTCTCCCTCCTCAGCCCCGGGCGCGCCCCGGCGGCCGGGCTCGCCCTGGGCCCCGCCGCTCCCCGGGCCCGTCCGCGGACTCACCGTTATTGCGCCGCGGGTTCGCCTGCTTTCTGCGCTTACACCTGGGGCCATCCGCCATGATCCTCTCGCTTGTGTCTAAATGCTCGAGTCACCTCCTCCCCCTCCCTCCCCCTTCCCCCCCTCACCCCTCCGCCTCCACCCCTCCCTCCCTCTCTCCACTCCCCCCCTCCCCGGGCTCCCCACCGCACCTGGTTTACGACACTCGCGGCTTTACGACATCACCTTCCTTACACCTAGAGGCGCTCGCTCTACGACCGGAACCTTGTTGCTAGGGCGAGGGCGGTTTGCGGCAACGGTGGGCGCTGGCGAGCTTTGCAAGTGAGGGGCTGAGGGAAAAGTTCCCCCTCAGGTACCCGGGGGGTGGTGGGGAAGCGGGAGACGGCCGGGACCTGGGCTGGAAAAGGTAAAGAGCGAGTCGAACGAAGCAGCGCTAGCCACCCCCTCCCGCGTTGGTGTCCCGTGTGCCCCCTCCCTTCCCCGAGATCCCCCGCCCGCTGCGCTCGGGGCCGAACTCTAGAGCCCTCTCTTAGAGCCGGGGGGCGCGGAGGGGGCTAGGCCGGGCTGCCTCCTCTCCCACCCGTGACCCTCAGCTGGGGGACTGTCGCTTGGACAGGTTCCGGGGTATCTGACAGCTGCCGCACACACCCACGCCCAGAGAACCCCCAGGACCGCGGACGGGGGGGGGGCGAGAAGCCCCGCGTGACCGCGAAGAGCTAGGTGGGGCGCCCGGCCCGGATCTCACCTGTGGTGGCCCCTCCCCCTCCGGGCAGACATAACGGATTGTGGGTATCAGGGCCGGAGAGTTACGGTATTAATTGGCCGTGATTTACAGCCCCGAGGCTGGCGCGCTTATTGCTTTAGGGGACCCCAAGTCAAGAAACAAAGGGGGGGACGGGGAGAACCTGGGGCAGTGGAGAGATCAGCTACTGCCCCCTGGCCTTGGGCGCGTTTACGGCTTTCTCCACTTCTCAGGACCCCAGCACCACCAAAGTCTAACCTTAACCGTCCACGGGAGGTGAGCTTCCCACCCCCAATTCAGCGGTTGAACCGCTGGAAAATTAAGTATCCAAGAGATGAGCCTGTTAGATGTTTTTTAAATACACCAGTTGCAAATGGAAAATAGAACAGTTGGAATCAACTTTTAAGTTCTCAGTAGATGAGCCTAGATGTGTTTTAAATACTAGTTGCAAATGGAAATGGAACAGTTTAAATTCCCAATAGATGAGCCTATTAGATGTGTCTTAAATGAGGTAGTTACACATGGAAAATGTAACAGTTGGAATCAGCTTTTAAGTACCCAATGGGTGAGCTTAGATGTGTTTTAAATATACTAGTTGTAATTGGACAATATGGCAGTTGTCAATGAGTAAGAAGTTTCTTCCTTCATAGGACAGAGAAAGCAGATAGATATATATCTATAGATATCTATAGATCTATAGATCTATAGATATCTATAGATCTATAGATCTATAGATATCTATAGATATATATGCTCTGCTATACATTTCTAGTAACATACATTCAGTTTTTGCCCTTGTTCTGTGAAAATTGCCTTCCTAACACATGCTACTTAATTTTGAAAGATTTTCTATCTAATAAGCTCTTACAGCCTTTCTTGAAATTAGGACGACTGAAGTCTAGAAACTTTAGATCACATTAAAAAGTATAAAGAATGAAACAGGATAATTTTCATTAGTAGAAAGTTTAATTCTGTAGGTAAAAGACAGTTCTATTGTCTATATTTTGGTTTGGACATCTTAAACAAGTAAATGTACTATTTATTGAAATTCAAGGTGTGACTCAAAATGAATGAGATTAGTATTCTACATCAGATTTTTATCCTTGAGTTAGTTATCATCTTGCAAGGAATCAAAATTACCCTTTCCCTTGATTAGCGTTTTGAGTATATCACTTCTCTTCTCGGGGCCTTCCAGTGGCTCTGAGTTGTCTTTAGATTTTAAGTTTGGTGGGTAACTAATTCTCCTTTTAAGTAACTATCTTTCTCTAACCTACACTGTTTGCTTCTGTCAGACAAATTTACTTACTACCTCCAGGATACTTTACTTTTGCCATTTCTTTTCTGAAATGTCTTCCTGAAGTTTTCTTGCTCTTCTTCCTTCTTGAATCTTTACCACAAAAAGTAATCATTGGACTCTAATTACCCCTCCCCATCCTTTATCCTTTTCACCTTTCAAAATGCATAGTGCTTAATACATGTGTTTGAATATTATAGTACTGTATGTTTCACTTGAATGCATATATAGAGGGCATTTCTGTAGAGCTTTTTTCAGGTTTGCAAAGCACTTTTCTTAGAACAACCCTTTGATGTGTGTAGCACCTATCCCCATTTTACAAATGAAGAAATTGACATTCAGAGGGAAGAAATGATTAGGCCAGAGTTACGTACCTAGTGTTAGAATCAGGATATGAACTCAGGTCTTCTGAAGCAGGGACTTGTTCTTTCCTCTCTCAGTTTTTCAGTAGTGCTGCTAGAGGTACCAGGATTCAATGACTCCAGGAATTGTTTCTGTTTCCTTGCCTTTGCCTCTTCTTCTTTACTCCCACCCCCTTCCATCAAGAGTTTCAGGCTAGGGGTGTGGAATGTTAATGTTTTGTGAATTTGGGAGAAACAAAACAAAGTTTTCTTTTTATCTCTTCTGTAAAATCAAAATCCTTTACAGGCCCCATTCAGTTATGTACAGAGACACATATAAATATACACATTGACAAAGGTATGTACACAAATGGACTGATATCCCATTCACACAATGCAATTCTGAGCTCTGTGAGGACAGTAATCATGCTTTTTTTTTTCTTGCCAGATTTTTCATGATATAACATGTTCTGTGTTGGTGAATACTAACCCTGAACACATTTCGTTTGCCAAAATGCTGTTTTTATTCATTATGTATTGGATAACTTGGCTATTCCCTCTGTTTGTACACAGCGTAACTCCTTTGTGTGCCTCATCCTGAGCAGTTCTTGAAAATGTTCTCTCACGTATCCTCCAGAGAGGAGCTGTCCTTAATTTTGGAAGTTCTCACAGAATCAGGGATGGAAGGGCACTTACCCCCAAATCCTCATTGTACAGATGAGTAAACTGACACTCAGAGAGTCGAAGTAAGTTGCCCATGATTACACATGTTGTACCTATTAGGGCTATGACTTGAGCTTCTGGATCTTCAGCTCCAAATCCAACGTTCTTTATATATTGTGGCTACAGAGCACTCAGCTTTTCCATTATCTCTCATTTCTGCTGCTTGTACAGATGGAAAAGGCGGTGGGTCAGTTACTTTTTGGATGATATCCCTAATTCTTGCATGTAGGTATTAGGCATATGCTGAAGCCAAGCTAAGTTCACCATGTCTCTATCTCCATAGCCCCTTTGGTCATCTGGTAGGTATTTTGATTCTTTGAAGTTTTCAGTGTTCCGAAATTAGTAACCCTATAACATAGGGGAGGCAAGAAGACCTTAAGACAATATGAATAAAACATTTATATAATAACCATTTATTGATTGCATTGTTTGTAAAATCTTTAAAATCTGTTATAAAAAAAAATCTAATGGGTCATGTCCCTATGTATCATCCTTATTCTTCAGTTTTGACATTTTATTTTTGCATTTCAGATATCACTAGTAGTTAAAATTAGAAGTGCTAGTACTTCATAGGAAAAGATTGGTTATACTGATGATCTGAAGAATCAATTGGTACCATTATAGAATTCAACATGAAAAATATTTTGATAGTACAGAACTGATGAAAGCTTGGGTATGTTATACCCAAATTCATAGAATTTTAAGTACCCATACAGCTTGCTACTCCTGCCCCCCCCCACACTTATTTATGTGTCACAAACAAAAGCCCTTGTGTCATGGTATCATCAGGGAGATTCTGCATGTAGTGGAACACAAAAGAAGTCTGAAAATGAGGCACAGTGAGGTCAGTAGTCTGTTCTGAGAGCCCAGATCAGTTCTTCATCAACCAATAAAGCCTTCCAAGATTGTTCCACTTCTCCCAACACCATGTGGAGTTGTTGTGGTGGTTGTTTTTATAAGATCATGTAATTAGAGCAAAAAGGGACTTCAGAGGTCATGTAGATCAACATACCCTTATTTTAAAGATGAGGAAATCAATTCCCAGAGAGTTTGTGACTTGTGCAGAGAAGCAGAGATGGTAAATGATGGAGCTGGAATTTTAAACCAGTTCTTTAGCTGCAAATCTGATACTCTTTCCTTATACCATATTGGAATTAAATGTTATTTGTTAATCAGTGGGCAACAAAAGAGTTAAACAATGAATTTTTCATACACCTCTTTTTAAGGCCATATAAAATTTATATATTATCAGAACACTATTCATAGACTATCCTTAAATGAGTAAAAATAATCTTTTCCCTCCAAATTACCATTATTATTTAAAATGGAATGCTTCCCTGAACTGCCACCTTAGAAGGTAGATTTATAAACAGCTCCATTATTAATATTACTTGTTAACATGCCTAAGATTTCATTTTACATTATACAAGATGAAAAAAAATACTTCTTCAGACAGAGCAATATCTTGATTTTGTCTTTTGCACGTTTTAGACACACTTCACAAATGATAGTCTGAAGATACATGGTTCATGCCACTTCTCTTTTGTCCCAATGTTCTTCTTGCCTTTCTGACTTCACATATCAGTTGGCTGTCTC